GAGCAACTTTCAGTCTTAAAGGCTTCATTCGTGGTTAGTGCCCTGTAGAAGTGGACAGTTTGTTTATGCTGTATTTTTACTGTACCTTTTCTATGTGTAGATACATAAATACTTACCATTGTGTTACAGTTGCCTACAGCATTCAGCAGTATATAACATGCAATACATGTTTGTAGCCTGGGAGTAATAGGCTGTCTCATATAGCCTAGGTGTATAGTGGGCTGTACCATAAGCACACTCTTCACACAATGAGATTGCCAATGATGCATTTCTCAGAAAGTATCTCTGTCATTAAGCTACGCATGACTATACATTATTATTGACTGTAGTCACTCTGCTGTGCAGTAGATCTCAAAACTTGTTCCTTCTGTCTTCTGAAACTTTGTACCCTTTGACCAGCAACTCCCCATTCCCTCCCTCCTCAGCTTCACCCAGGCCTGGATTCTTCATATAAGTGAGATCGTGCGGTATTTGCCTTTCTATGCCTGGCTTATTTTACTTATGGGCCTTCCAGGTTCACCCATGTTGTCGCAAATGACAGAATTTCCCTCTGAATTTAAGGCTGAATAGTTTCCCATTCGATATCAGTACTATGTTTTCTTACATTCATCCATCGATGGACACTTAGGTTGAGTCCATATCTTGGCTTTTGTTAATTATGCTGCAGTGAACCCCTTCAACATACTGATTTTGATTTTTTTGGATATATATCCAGCAGTAGGATTGCTGGGTCATGGTGGTTCTGTTTTAAGTTTTTCCGTGATGGCTACAGTAATTTACATTCCCACCAACAACGTACAAGAGTTCTCTTTTCTTTGCATCCTTACCAGCAACCTTTCATCTTTTTAAATTAATTTTGAGTGAAGGGACAGGGTAAAAAGGTAGAGAGACTTCTTAGAGATTTTGGTGGAAGATACAAGCAAAGAAAATAATATGAGATTATGTCTTGGTAGCAACCATTGCACTTTGCTTTTTTCCGCTTACATCTTGGAGAGCACTTTAAAAACATTATTTTGGAATAATTTTAGATTTATAGAAAAGTTGCAAAACTAAGAATAGTACAAAGAATACCCATGTATCCTGTACCCAGATTTAACTGTTGTTAGCATTTTATACCATTGTTTGATCATTTGTGCCATTTTCCCTGTCTACTTACCTACGTGTGTACCTGTGTAATTTTATTTCTGAATCATTGATTATAAGTTATATCCATCCTGACCTGATTATAAGTTATATTACTCCTGAGTACTTTAAAAGACTAAAACAAGGTAGCTAAGTAATGAAAAAATAAGCCAAACCAGAAACAATCTTAATGTCTATCAACAGGAAAATGGATAAAATGTGATATAGTCATATAATGATACATTAAACCACTATGAAAATTAATGAACTGCAACTACAAGCAAAGTGAATGAACCTAAGAAACATTATATAGAGTGTGAAAGGCAAAGCTCAGGCTGGACGTGGTGGCTCGCCCTGTTGTCTCAGCTACTAGGGAGGCTGAAGTGGGAAGATTGGTTGAGCCTTGAGAGGTCAAGGCTGCAGTGAGCTATGATCATGCCACTGCACTCCAGCCTGGACGACAGAGCAAGACCCTGTCTCAAATAATAATCATAACTTTAAAAAAAAGGCAAAGCTCAGAAAACTACATACTATGGTATAATACTGTCTTTTTAAAAGGCAAGTTAACAATGAGCAAAATTCAGTCAAGTAGTTACCTCTGGAGGGGGAGACAGAGGGCTGGGACAGGGAAGAAGTACGCTGGTAGATACAACAATATTGATAATGTTTTAGTTCTTAAGTTGGGTAGTGGATTCATAGGCGTTTATTATTATCATGCTTCATAGCTTACAGATATAGTGTATGTATTATTTTGCATTTTTCAAAATTTCAAAGGCAGCAAAGGATGTTGTCTAAATAGAATTTATAAAAGAGAGGAGTAAAAGAGAGTATGTCATGCATGGTTTGATTGTGTATGTCTTACATCCCTAACTAAAAGTGTAAATTAATTGAGCATAAAGACCATATTTAATGCTTCTATTTTATTATCTATATTATAGATTCTATAAAACCTGTAATTCCGTCTACAAAATAAGGATAGTCTGTGTTTATTGATTACGTGATTTGAAATAGCTATAAAACAGTAAGTTTAAACACTTTATTTTCAGTAAAATTCACATTGTTCTGTTGGGGAGTTTTTCTCACACAGGTAGGAAATTTCCAAACTGCTTCTGATGTATTTATTACACAATATATCAGAAGGCCACTAAATAGTAGCATTTGGTTAAGAAAAATTTAAAGAAAAAACATTCTGTTAAATTTTAGTGGTAAATATATAAGGGATATAACTTCTGCTTGTAAGCAAGGACATTTAAAAATAAGAGTTATGGGTGTGTCAGTATCATTCATATGAAAAAGTTACCAGTTCAGATTCTTACCGATATGCTGAAACCAATAGTGAGTTACTCAGGCTAGAAAATATATCTGAGGCTACATTTATATTTCTTTTAGAATCATACCTCATGTTTGCTAAGTGAAGCTGATGATTTTGTGTGGATTACCTGTGATTTTGTTTCATCCTGGGCCAGTATGCCCCAGTACCCAGTATGCCTGGGGTTCCCTCACCTCTCCCTCCCAGGAGGAGAGAATGGGAACTTGGTTTTACACTAGCCTAAACTAAACCGAGTAATGGCAGAGGTAAATCTGCTGCAACAGTAGTCATATAACCCTTCCAAAATCAAATAGAAATTATTTTGAGATTATCTACTGTTCTTGATACCATCTTTTAAACTTCATTGCTACAGATATGTGAAATTGGAACATGGCTGTGCAACAATCAGCAGAGTGTTTGGAGAACAGACACATATTAAGGAGGACTCCAGTAGGTTTTTACCAGCTCTGATCCTGGGGCCAAAACAAATTATTATCTCCTGTTCAGTTGGCAAATCCTCATTGGTCAGCAGTTCATAATTTTGTATTTGTTTATAAGGTTTGTATTTGCCTGTGCAAGCTGACAACACGTTTCTAAAAAGGCCTCGTCCTCAGGGCCAAGACTATATTTCACATAAAGCAATATGTTCACCACAAATCCCCAGAAGACTAGATTTTGAACATAAAAAAAATATTTTTTGTGGTTGGGCATGGTGGCTCACGCCTGTAATCCCAGCCCTTTGGGAGGGTGAGGTGGGAGTATCCGTTAAGCCCTGGAGTTTGAGACCAGCCTGGGCAACATGGTGAAACCCTGGCTCCACAAAAAATACAAACATTAGCTGGATGTGGCAGCACCTGCCTGTGGTCCCAGCTACTCAGGAGGCTGAGGTGAGAGGATCACCGGAACCCAGAAAGTGGAGGCTGCAGTGAGCTGTGATTGTGCCACTGCACTACAGCCTAGGCAACAGAGTGAGACCCTGTCTCAAAAGAAAAAAAAAAAAAACGTATTTTTTTCTACTACATAGTAGGTTTACTGTCATTAAGAAAAGTCTAGCAGACGAAAAATGCAGGGTGAACTATTTATGCATCATGATACATGTGGAATTCATTTTATTCTTTTTCCATAAATATAGTGCTTTGTCATTACTTCTGGTAGTTTTATTCCTCGTTAATTTTCCTTTGTTATGGAGAGTCTTGATATCTGTTTGGATTAACAGGTGCACTTAGCATTAGCTTTTTCTCTGCTGAATCTTTGCCTCAAAACAATAAGAGTAAGTAAGGGTGAGGCACTGCACTCCTTTTTTTTTTTTTTTTTTTTTTAAATAGCTGAGCAGGAAGTTTGCCTCTGACAGGGTATTGTAATCAGGTTTATCACAGGAGCCTGCTGTTGTGTAACAGAAACTCTAGCCTGTCCTTACCTGTCTTAAAGTATTGCTTCATGAAGGAAAATAAACTCGCTGTAAATTCGTGAAATTCAATAAAATGCTTTCCCAAGCACTCTGTTTTTAATGCATGCTGGAACAATTTATTGTAGCTTTGTGGTCTTTTAAAAAAAGTATTAAACTTGTAATTTCTTACTATTGAAATGGACCTGTATCACTCTAGAAGCCCTGTATGTCACATTTATTATACCTTTTAGACATATCCTCAGCCAAGTGTAGTAAATGTCCACACTCCCTCCCTTCTTCCCTCCCTTCCTTCCCTCTTTTTTCAAGAAGAGATGGTTTGTGTTGCCTTCAGATGACTGTTGATTTAATTGACAGGCAGCTTTTCTTCATTGTGTGCTTTTTGCTTTTGCTCACAAAAGTGCATTCACTATTCTATAGTATGTTGAAACTTTTAAATGGAAACGGCTTTTCATTAACAAAGGACACCTTTTCTTCCCTGCTTCCATGCCTTAGCTTTCTCCACTAAGTCTTGGCTTCTTCAGCAGCTGTACCTCCACCAGAAATGACAAAAGGTGCAATTGTGCTAGGAGATGGCGATGAAGATATGCCAGTGGAGTTTTGTGTGTGGGCTGCTGGGGACTGTTTTCCTTCTGTGTTTGGTTTTGTTTTATTTTTGTTATTCCAGAAAGTTGAGAGCACATCTAAAAACCAAAAAAAAAACAAAAACCAAAAAAACCCTTTTCAAACCTTTATCCCAGGTGAGCTGTTTCTTTCCATTAAGTTGTTGTGTTAGTATTTCAGTGGCCCCTCTGTCTTAATTACAACAAAATCTGGCAAACCTCACTTAAAGCAGAGGGACATGGAATACAGAGAGAGTTGATGTGGTTTGTTTTCTTTTTCCAAGCAGCGTGAGAGTCTCAGTCTTCCTGCCATTACCCTGACTTAGGAGCAGAGCTCAGGAGAGGTGTGCAAATTAAATTTTAGTCTTTCCAGCCATCTCCTTTTTCTTAGTTGTGATTCGTGAGCCCAGGTAGATAGCCAGTTCATTTCATTTACTTAAATTAATTTGGAGATAACCCTCTTCTCCTTTTTCTGCCTCTGCCTCTTCTGCTGCTCCATTTGTGACTCAACTTTCTGGAGTGTGGTGCTGACTTGAAGCCCTATTTACTTCTAGCAAAAATCTTTCAGTTTACCTCGTAGAATAAACTGAAAATCTAGTTATCTTTCAGGGGCACCATCTCTTCACAGCATACCAAATAATCAGATCATTGATTGAACCAAAGTATTTGGTCTAGACATACTTGTCTGTATTAGATACAATTTATTCTGTCAGTGACTTACAATAGGTCTACTTCTATCTTTTCAGCCTTGATTTTCTTTATATATTTTAAACCTACAGATGAGTTTAAAAATAGATAATATGTAACATAGATACTGTTCTACCACAGTCCTTGGCAGTGTTTCTCAATCCTCTCAAGAGTTAGTCATTTCATCATCCCTCGCTAGACTCAGCAAGAAGGGATAAAGAGGAAACTGGAAATTTATTCTGAAGTACATCTCCAATATTTTGAATGTTGATCAACAGCATTCTGATCTTCTCCCTGAATGAGTAAAAAGAAAAGATGTAATACTGGGTCAGCCAAACCCACTGCGTGGCACTTAGCCAGGATGATTCATTTTGCCTTGGAGCAATCTTACACCCTTTGTGAAACTGGGTTTCTTTTGGTGGAAGGAAGAAAAAGTCTCCTCCAGAGCTGTCAGTCACTTCTTAAGCACCTTCAAATGAAGGCCTTATTGGATTGTTTTGATCTGCCGGGAGTCTTCAAACCTGACTCTGGATTTATTCACCTTCTTACTCTGCAGGCCACATGTAGTGCTTGGGATTGTTTGTGCAATCTTTGTTAGCATAATAATCTGACAGGTTTCAAGTCTACTTGAGGGAAATTGAAGTGAGCATGATGATCGGGTTCCCTCATTTCTACTCTTCCCTCCCAGACAGCATGAGGGAGACAAGCCAGCTGGTGTTTTCTTGTGTTCCTGGCCCACTTCCCCGTGCCCCCCCGCCCCCCTGCCGCCCCTGGCTACCATCATCTCGGCCTCACTGGAATGTGTATATGTGCCTCTCTTTCCAAACTTGGAGAGTTAAACTATCTGAGCACTTCCTCCTGTCTACAAGAAAAATAGCCTCTGCATTTTATTTTTTGTTTCCTGAAACTGGCATATTCTGTTTTCTGGGGATCCATAGCAATTTCATTAATCTCTAGACGCTCTCAGGCTTTAGTGTGCTTAAGAATATCCTGGAGAGCTTGTTTAAACTGCAGATTCTTAGACCCAGTGTCAGAAATGGATTCAGTAAGTATAGTGTGGGCTCTAAGAAGATGTTTTTTGGAAGCATCTTGCAAGGGATTCTGATGGAGATTGTGCTTTGAGCAGTGCACATAAGCCTTATCTGTATCTCTGTCTGTCTTTTGTTATTTCACCTTGTCCCACAGAAGAGTTGAGGTAGAATTAGCAGATAACCAACGGGTCAGTATAAAACAAAATGCTGCTATACCTTATTAAGTATGTGTTGTTTTAAACAGGATTCTGTTTAAAACTGTTTGGGAACTATGTCTATGTAGAAACTGGTCTATGAGTTTAACATATATGAAAATAGTGAAAATCAAGGCTAAAAAGATAGCAGTATCCCTACTCTCTGTGTAAGTCATTGACAGAGTACATTATATCTGATGGATAAGATTCTGGCAGGCTTCTTATTCTGGGATATGCAAACACATCTCTTGGTGTTACATTTTTAATAATTATAGTTTAATAACTCCATATTTCCCCCAAAGGTATATTTCTATTTCTAAGAGGTTTTGTGTAAGATAAAAGTAGATATTAGCAAATGGTATAAATTTTGAATGTCTGTATATTTCATATATGCTGAGTTTTTAAAATTTTTCAGCTTTATTGCACGTCTAATTATGACCTCTTTAACATGTTGTGTGTGTGTTTTTTTCCTTTAGACAGACATTACTTAGATTCCTTTTTTCTTTTTTTTTCTCCTGCCACCTTTTCTGAGAACTTAGGTTCCATTTTATACTTTTTTTGGTGGCAATATATACGTAAAAGTTACCATTTTAGCCATTTGTAAGTGTGCAGCTCAGTGGTATTGAGTGTATTTACATTTTTGTGCATCCATCACCACCATCCATCTCTAGAATTTTTTCATCTTCCCACATTGAAACTCATAGGCATTAGACACCAACTTCCCATTCCCCACTTGTTCCATCCTCTGGTAACCCCCGTTCTGCTTTCTGTCTGTAGGAATTTGACTTCTTTAGGTATCTCATAAATGTGGACTCATACAACATTTGTCCGTTTGTGTCTGGCGTCTGGCTTATTTCACTTAGCATAATATCTTTAAGGATCGCCTATAGTGTAGCTCGTGATGGAATTTCATTCCTTTTCAGGCTGGATAATATTCTGTGATATATATAAAACATTCAAAATCTATACTACTTGCTAATATCCAGCTTTATCTTATATAAAATATATATACATTTATGTACATACATACCACATTTTGTGCATCCATTCATTGGTGTACATTTGGGTCATTTCTACCTTTTGGCTATTGTGAGCAATGCCAACAGGAACATTGGTATACAAATATTTGTTCGCGTCCCTGCTTTCAATTCCAGAAGTGCTATTATTGGATCATATAGTAAGGCTATGTTTAATTTTTTAGACAACCATAATATATTTTTGAATGTTATTTTTTTCTTATTATAAAAGTAATGTATTCAGAATTAGAAGAAATGTAGAAAATAATGAGAAGTATAAAGAAGGAGATGAAAATTACAGTCTGATTTCTCATGAATGCCATTAACATTTGCTATTTTTGATTGTCTTATTTAATGTGCATAAACATATTTGCAAAATTAGGATTGAAGCGTATATACAAATTTGTCTCCTGCATTTTAAAAATTGAGTATTGTACTATGAATATTTTCCTAAGTCATGAAATAGCCTATCAAAGCACGCTTTCTTAGCTGCTTAATATGATGCATGATATGTATATCTAACATAAATATCCAGTAATAAGGAAATGATGGATTCATAAAGAATATTTTACAGTCACTCAAAATGATGTTCTCACAGGTTGTCTCGTGGCATTAGAAAATTCTCACAAAACATAATGTTAGGTCATAATTCAGGAGATGAAACTATATTCTTAATCTAGTTTGTACAAAAGCTCTCAAACAGGCAGGAGCTTGGCCTAAGAGCAATGTAAACTATTAGAGGGATTTTAGTATGGGAAAGACATACCCGATTTTCATTTTATAATCTTACCCTGGGCTGGGTGCAGTGGCTCATGCCTGTAATCCCAACACTTTGGGAGGCCAAGGCAGGCGGATTGCATGACCCTAGGAGTTCAAGACCAGCCTGGGCAACATGACAAAACTCCATCTCTACAAAAAACAGAAAAAAATTAGCTGGGTGTGGTGGCGCATGCCTGTAGTCGCAGCCTACCCAGAAGGCTGAGGCAGGAGGATCACTTGAGCCCAGGAGGTCAAGGCTGTAGTGAGTGTGATCATGCCACAGCACTCCAGCCTGGGCAGTAGAGTGAGACCCTGTCTCAAAAAAATAAAATAATAAAATAAAATAAAATCTTACCCTGGCTCCCAGTTGCAAAGAGGTAGAAGCAGATATAGGGCTGTCAGGAGGTTTTTGATAGTTCGGGTCTGGGGTAGAGTTGTGATGAGAAGGACTATCACTGAAGACCAAGCTTGCAGGTGGAGTGAACAGTCTGTGGAATGGAATGAATGTGGTGTGTGAGGAAAGGGAGGTGTCAAGGATGTTCCTAAATGTTTGCTTTTTGTGACTGGGTAAGGAACACTGCTGGAGGGATTAAAATTTAGGGATGTGGAAGATGTTGGGATATATAAGTTTGACATACTAGAGAGATAATCCAAGTAGAGATGTCAAATAGGCTGTTGAATTTAAATCCCAATGTTATAAATATGGATGTGCCCAAATGAACTGAGAGGAAAGTCCACCCAGATCCTAACAGAGGGTTTCTCCAAGTTGTCAGAGATTTTTATTATCTTTTAGTATAGAATTTTATATTTCCTAAATTTTCTATAATGTTGATGTGTTATTTTTATAATCAAATTTAAATGTTGCTAACATACATTCATCATGGCTTTATTTATACTGGTTTAAAAATGGGAAACAACATAAATGCATAACAATGAGACAAGATTGGTTAAAAGAAAATGGGATGGGATTGAAAACCCTTTTGCCACCTTTAAAAAAATATTTTGAGTGTTACTCAAAAAGGAAAAGTTAGTTCTGTTTAAAAATAAAAGAAATTTTTAAAAATGAAATCTATAATACTGAATGGAGACTAGCAGAATCTGGAATCTAATCTATAGGGTTTTAAATAGTTAGATAAGCGCACTTGATAATTATTTTCTCCTCAATTCATATTTGAAAGAATAGTGGTCTCTTTGTTACCAGATGTTGAGTTTGATGTATCAGCTTTTAGTGTGGAAGTTTTGAAAATATCCTAAATCCTTTTAACCTACCAAGTCGCTTTTCATTAATGACCTTACACATACTTATGAATTTATCATCCGTTAAATCATTTTTTAGATGATTTTTTTTCTAAGGGGAACATTTACCGCTCTAGTGTTTTGTTTGCAGATAAAAGTACTTAATTGCATCTCTTACCTGCATTATTTAAAAGCATTAAGATTGCCATAAATCTTATTAGTAATGTTAAATTGTCTCAGCTTGAAAAGATGTTTCAAATTCTGTGCAGAATGAACCAGAGGTCTAAATTAATTAATTTTATAAATAAAAAAGAAGTCACGTTCTTTTCAAAGGTTGCTGAGAACTTATTTTTCTTTTCTCTTTTTAAAATTCACAGATTAAAATACAATTAATAGTATTTTAGTGTACAAGTAGATTAACTGTATCCCAACATTAAAGAAAATCTTAAAATGCCACATTGCTACTTTGGATTAACAGAAAATTACTTTGTATTCTTCAGCTACAGATCAATCATATGTTGGTAATATAACATAAACTGAAGGCATTTTTCCTAAGGAAATGTAAGAGTTTAGCTATTGAAATAGTTGTACCAAAATAAATGTAATACAGAGAAGATTTTAACTTCAGGCAAAGGAAAATCACGCATAGTTATAAATTCTAAAAATTCACAGTATACTTGTTTCTGTATAAGCATATACCCCTGTACCATTAAGGTCTTTCCACCTTTGTATTTGAACGATGATTTCTCCCACAAAGGTGATGCATGAAGCTTTTTTTTTTTTTTTACTTTTTATTGAGGTAAAATAGACACATAGGAAAGTCTACACATCATAAATGTATATACAGTGTGATGAATTTTCACACCCTGAACACAGTCACATCCCCAGCACCCAGCTTCATGGAGAAGCATTACTAGCACCCCAGGAGCTCTGCTGCGTGTTCCCTTCCAGTCCTGTCCTACCCACCCTTAGAGTAATCACATCCTGACTTCTAACAGTACAGAAGTTGGGGACGGAGTTACCGAGTTTTATACTTTATATAAATGGAATTGTTCTCTTTTGCATCTGGCTTTTTTCTTTGAACATTATGTTTTGAAGATTGACTCATTGTTGCATGTAGCACATTCACTTACTGAATACTGTTCCATTGTGAGATTATATCACAATTTACTGATCTATTGTAGATAAGTAATTTATGGACATTTGAGTAATTTCCAGCCTAGAGTTGTCACAAATAGTGTTGTTATGAACATCCTAGTACATGTCTTTTATGGTCATGCATACACATTTCTGCTGGGTATACATAGCTAGGAGTAGAATTCCCTTGACCTAGGAGGTACATATGCTCAACTTTAATAGACACTGCAAAATGGATTTTCAAAATTTTTATATTAGACTCAATTTTAATAGTGTTCTACCATATCAGAAATGTTAGTTTTCTGAAATCTCGCAAGCACATGTGTGTTATAACCCGATAACTTTCTATTTTGTACTATAGTTATTTATCCAAGCCTTATGTCCTTTCTCGATTATCAACTCTTTAAAGAAATTGTCTTATTCATCTTTTTATTTCTGATATTATGTTATTCATGTTTTTATTTCCCAAAGTACTTTGCCCAATTCCTTGCATATAATAGGCTGTAAACTAATTTTTTTTTTTTTTTTTTTTTGAGACAGAGTCTCGCTCTGTGCCCAGGCTGGAGTGCAGTGGTGCGATCTCGGCGTACTGCAAGCTCCGCCTCCCGGGTTTACGCCATTCTCCTG